ATAAATAAACTCTTTCCCGGTATAAAACGTCTAGTCCGCCTGTCCAGATATATTTTTATAATGAACGCTTAATATATTCCTGTACTGTATCACCTTGAGTCACAGCGCTTTTGTTTGTTGTCAGTTAAGACGTTCAATACACTGCGTGTGAAATCAATACCTGCGTGGCACCGGTAGACATGGCCATATCATTCGAAAAATAACAAATGGTACTCTCACTGTTAAACCTTTTCGTATCGAAATACATCCCATAAAATTCACAAATTGTTGCCGATTTGTCAAGTAGGAGCTAAACCAGTTAACAACATCATCGGACAAACTATAAATTGACAACTTCGTCAATCACAGAGTTTGGTTAACAAGTTCAAAAGCCTTAGGACAGCGCAATCTGACAAAAATGTCTCCTAAAACTTGACTGAACGTTAAAGAGTAGGTTAGCATGAAGCAAATAATCGGATTAACAAATATTGATGTGTCTTTCCAGTATTTTTGATTATGCCGATAAAACAGATATTGGACGGCGACCCGCCACATCGCCATGACTATCACTTTCTTTTTACAGAGGACTAGCCTTTGTGCATTTGGAAACGCTTTGGAAAACAAAGCGAAATACTCATATTGAAAGGACGAGTAAGGCTTTCAAAAATAACATGTACCCCAACATCCAAAGGCTTGCAGTTTAATCACCAGTGACCCTTGCCTTATCAAATAGAACTATTGTGACACGTATTTGTTTATAAGGTCACATTTGTAATACATTTGTAGTATTCGCTTTTGATTCGCATATAACCCAACCAGTCTGAACAAACTGCTGATATATATCGAGAATTATGAACTGTAAATACTTTATCGTGGTTGTCTACCCTGTCAAGCACATATCTAGGAATGGCAAACGTCACAATGGTCCCAGTTATGTCTCGAATTGTGCAAATGTTCCATACGGGGGACATTGATGTTTCGGATGCTATTCCTCTTTTTCGTGTGAATCATCATTCAACGAGATTGTAGTAAAGAATAGTAACCGAACCATCACTATTGCCTCCTGTTCCCACAGATGTGGACTTGTTACTATAGTGGGTGATTTAACTGGTGCATTACGGCATTGCTCATTTAGTTCTTATGGATTTTAAAGTTTTCCGGGTCTTCAAGTCCGTAAAGTTGCTGAAACCATCTATTTCAACTGGTATTGACAAGACACCCCACGTGACTTAGAGACATTTAATTTAAAGGAATAGTAGATATGTAACATGTAACATTTTTACCCCGACACGCTAAGGGGGGGGGGCAGTGCATCGCCTACAAAAGTATATGCTGTCAATCATTTAAACAACATTGACGTTTCCACTGATAGTAGCAACACAAAACACCTTAATGATGATAGCCTCATTTTGGCCACGTCAGACCACTATTCTCACTAATACCATTTCCAGACAGAGAGTTGTCTACATTGCCAGATAGAACTGTTACATACAGAGTATGTTTAGATCGGCGTTTGTATTTTCTGATAGAGCAACCATCTTGAAAACTAGCTTAGCTTCTAAGGAGACACAGTCACCGTGGTATTTATTAATTAGGTACCTCTTCAGAGCTCTCATGAACCAGCCACACCCATTTATAGTTTTAGTAAGAAGTCAATTGAAACTGGGATAGATGCTCAGGGATAACAGAACAGTTTTGGGTTAAAATCCGTAATTATGAAGTACATCATAACAACATAATTTACATAATGCTTTGTCAATTTAAGGTATATAAGTGATCTGAAGACCATCAAAAACGTGCCTGCTTTAGGTTAAAATCTGTGAATATTAATCACCTAAATTGAATATTAATTATTTTGTTCAAGTTTCCCACAGATATCACAAAAACTGGTCATTTTATTTCAATGAAACGTGGTACATACGTGCCCATGAACAATGTACATACCTTATTAATTTGTGTTGACATCCATGCATACAAATTACCTAATTTGCAAAATAATTAATCAATTTCCAGCTTTCCAACTGATATCTCAAGAACCAATCACCACATTTCAATGTTGCCAGGTGAGAAGATGAAAGACCTGACTAGTTTTTGATTGAAATCATGCTAACTAATTCTCCCAATAATTAGCCAATTTGCAGCTTTTCCATTGATATCTTGAGAATCATAAAACGTGGAACATAAGTGCTCTGGGATATTTCAAATACCTGTTTGTGATTGAAATCGGTGTATGTAAATTGTCTAATTTGCATGATTTTGCCTTATTTCAGCTTTACCATTGATCTCATCAGATTTCAATACAACTTAGAAGCTTAAGGGGTAATCCACAAAAGTGATTTGTTTAACGCTGAAAACAATATGTATTGATTGCCTAATTTGCATAAAGAAGGCAATTTATGTTATCAAAAATTAGATTTAAATTAAAGTTGTTACATAAGTCAATCCGACTGAATACCAAGGATGCATGATCAAACGTATTCCGCTTGCTTTAATAAAAATCTGTATTATAAACGTTGCATGGTGCATCACAAATAGCAGTCTTATATTAGTCTTCAGTCTTCTTAAATTATGAATTACTTTTAATTATTCCGTATTTTTCACTGGTATGTCTCCAATTCGCTCAGCACACGAACATTTTGTCTAAGTTTCTTTGATCTTGACAATTTACTATTACAGGACTATGTTAGCACACTGAGGTAGTAAATATTTCATTTTGTTTATTCATTCTTGATTGTGCTGTAGTAGTTTGTAACACGTGTTACACATGTTACTATATACAAGCTATATATATCAACGTAATGGTAGTATCGAAGTCTGACGTCATAAACTATATTGCAGCGAGCCACCAGTCTACTCGTTTATTAGTCAACCTCTGATACATACCGCTCTCACCCATGCAATTGGAGGTATGGCTTCTTCTATTCCCCAGGTTAGATTCTTATAGTCTGTAACTGTGTAAAATATGGAATACTAACTTTACTAGCCAAGGTACAGCTTATGTACACTGCACTGATAAGTGTGTTCGCCAAGGACGCCTTCTTTACAAATTCTTCATTAACGGTAATTATATATAAAAACATAATGGCGAGTATCGGAGGCTTATTCATATTCAAGTACATTAGCAGTTCGTCACAATTTTTCAATTTATATTCTAGCCATATTTGTACAAGTAATGTCACAGAAAATTAATGCTTGTGTCAACAAATGAGTCAACCAATTTCACCCAGTAACAGCACAGAAAAATCTAATTTAAAGTTATTCTTTTCTTTAAGACTACCTGTAATTTGTGTAAAACCATTTATTAATGGTTCGCATATAGAATAACAAATGAACATAATAATGTGAAATCAAATAAGAACACTCGCTTTTTGAACTATATTGTCATCGTGAACACACAGTAATCCAAAGGCATAGTTATCGAACAATCTTACACGCGTAAATCTTTAGAACACCTTTATTTTACAAATAAAAATGTGTTATAGCAATGCCACTATGCACTTGTTATATATTTGAATAGTATTTTCTATGCATTAAACAATTACACCAAGACCACGCATGAGCGAATAGGTTGTCTGACAATTGAGCACTATATACACATTGTGAATGTCACAAATTAGTCTATGGTCGTCTGAAGTTGACGGAATGGCGAAAGAATAAGTACTGAACATTTAGCCAGATTGATTTTAGTGTGTGCAGCATAACTGCAATTATACTGATCATATTTGTTAAAGTATTATAGCTCGCCGCGCCATCACACGACATTGTAGAGAAATTCACCGTAACACGACATCTACGATTGACGGCTAGTAACTAGTAGCTAGTGAAATTGCAAATCGGCCGCTTACGGCGAAGTTGATGCGTAATCCCTGGACACCCTATTAGGAAAACGATTTAATTGTTATCGTCTATATGAGCATATCGATCTTTTTAATCCGAACGTAACACCTTTCCTGAAGTACCCGAGTACATACATACATACGCCATTTTGGTATCTAAAATATTGGTTTGTAGACGGTCCTGGGTCGTGGAAATATAAAAAGGTTGTTAATTTCGAAGACGAGGACGTCGAATACTCTAATATTTTTTTAAGACGGGGCCGTTTATTTATACTTGTTCAGTATCAGCACTGTGATAGTATATATTTATAGCGTTTCGCGTGAATGACGTACGCAAATTTCAGTTTCATTTCAATGAGAAAGAACGCTTCGTTCGAATGAATTTGAATGTAATTGTCCAAGCGAAATGTCGCGAAATGCGCTATGACGTCAACCCTGAAATTACTTAATGAACATCTTCAAAATGCAAAAGAATAATTGATACAGTAACGGGTACAGCATAAAATTCGATCACAAAAAATACAGTGACTCTGCGATAATCTTAATATCTAAATTGAATTGAAAATAATTGTAGCCTTTTGACATAGGTGGAAAGTCACTAGAATCAGAGATCCAACATTCAATGAACAAAGTATAATGTGATGAAATTACAAATAAACTCTGGATTCTGAGCCTTTTGTACAAGGATTTCAAAACGCTAAATTAAAATATGGTGTGTTGCTGCTGTGAAACATTAATAAAGAACTTAAAACGAAACTATAGCAAGTGGCAAGGGTGCATACAACTGAGTGATAATTATTTAAATACTTTGCAGAATCCAATCTTCCAATATATTCTAGTCTGGTAATTATTGGAATAATATATACCATGTTGATTAATAATTATTTTGATATGAAGTCCATATTACTTTGGTGCACTGGTGCTATTATCGTTGTTTATATCAGTGCGACTAGTCTGCAGTTTTTGTTACTGTTTGATTAAGTATTTCACAGTAATTGTTTTTTTATAATCGTGAATGGGAGTCACAATGTTAACATTGATTGTCGGATTGATGTTTGTTTCGGGCGGTTTTTAGACTATGTGTTTAACCAGTATTCTGTCACATTGTTATGCCAGAGTTATATTTATATTATGCATATTCGTTGATAACACGCCAGTGTATATTTTTGTTGTTGCTTTTTTTAGGATATGGTTACACGGCTCCTGTCACTATGGGTGGTCGTATCTTCTGTATGATCTACGCTACCTTCGGTATTCCTCTAATGTTTGTCGTGCTCATAAATGTGGGTTCGTTATTTGCCGGGATGGCCAAGTGCGCATGCGCATGTACCATGTGCAAGAAACAGAGCAAAATACAGCCAATAAATTCAAAAGACGGCAAATGGGCTAAAAAGATCGACACTGCAGAGTTCGAAAAGTCGACTGAAAAGATACCAATGGACGTCCCAAAGCACATCAACATTAAGGACATTGCTGTAGAAGAAAGGAAACTTGATAACGAGGCCACTAAGAATTTCCAAGTACCAATTATCGTAATTTTGATGGTGGTGACGGGTTACAACTGCCTGGGAATGCTCTTGTTTTCCATCTACACGGACTGGACATACCTCGAATCGTTTTATTTCTCGTTTATCACGCTGAGTACCATCGGTTTTGGCGATCTATTTCTTGCAGACACGTCTAATGTCGGATTTCTGGTGATTTCTGCTCTCTACATGTTATTCGGATTAGCGGTCGTCTCCATGTGTATTACATTGCTACAGGAGCGATTTGTGTCTCTGGCAACTTCGATCGGAAAGGCAATCGGGTTGGTGAAAGAAGAGGATGAGTAAATTAGTTTGATTTCCATGGAAATGGGAAAAACGGGAGTTTACAGAAAAAATCTATCCAAGCAATAACTCATTTTTTTAAAACTTGAATTTGAACCAACCCCTCCCTTCTGTTCTAATTCAAGTAGTTACTATAATACAATTATTTCGTTTGTGAATCACTATACTATACTACTAAGGTATAGTAATGTATCACCATTCCGATGGTAGTCAAAGGTATAGTCAAATTGTAGATCGAACTATTATTGTTAAACCTTCTATCGTAATCGATGGGAAATCAATGTAAGTGGTTTCACACGGAATTGTGATTGGTCGTGATTTGTTATAATAATAACGAATGACACAATAATTAAATATTTCATGGCTTAAAAATTCTCACTACTCTAAACATCATATTTCTGAAATGCAATTCTCCAAATAGATTATCTAGAGTTACTATTACAAGCAGTCTGTTAATTTACAACAAAATGTACAAGAAAGTGAAGTATATGTTTTGAAGTATATGTTATTTATGAAATGTTAATTACGTCACATTTCAGTCAACTCCACGTGTGCCTATAGTGTTTTATCTGTCCATACTATTAATATTATAAGAATGAACGTGGCACTGGTGGTGGAAAATGGTCGTTATTTAGAAGACTTGGAGTTCTTACGGGTACGACGGCATTGTAAGTGTTCATAAGACATTCGAACATGATGACGCCATGAACCAATGATGTGGTTCATTCTCGTTATATTACATTATTTTGTTATAGAAGAGTGTACATCAGTTGATTCTCAAGATTAAATGGCAATGTGTACAGCAATTAAAGTTAAATTAATTTGACCTGATTATTTTGTACGTACCGGAACTTGTAGTGTGAAAAAGCGTTGTCAGGGTTGTGCATGCTTGACACCCATTGTAATCCATTTCGCATGTCTATAATAAACCGTTATTTTCCCCAAACCTATAATATCATCTTACATACAGGGCGGTGACTTCGATTTACACTGTTTATATTTCTAACGCCGATATAGACTTTATTTTAACGATCTAACCTAATGGTTATGGTATTATGGCTTTACTTATTTACTTACTTATATAGAAAACATGCAGCAGCACTAATATGTTTGAAAGTTCAACTTTTTTGCTATGGGTTTGCACTACATATCATATGCATTTTTTCCAATAGGAGCATTTCACTCTATTTTTAATATATAATAATAATAGTAATCCTTAGTAATCTATATCATGTAATTATTTCAATCTTGTTTGAATTTGCACAATACTGCAATTTATATGCAATGTATATTGCAATATAAACATAATAACATAATAATTAAGTGAATATATTGTTATCACCATATTTCTTTAAAGGGTGGTAGTCATCGCACCGCGTTCTGTTCGATATGGGACTCATGGCGACGTATACAACGTGTGTAAAATACATTGTTTATTTACTTTAAATTCGAACACGCGCTGCGCGACGACCACCGCGCTTTAAATATTTGTGAGGGTGACAATACGTGTATTACAACAACACCACATCTGGAATGCGGTGGTCAACTTGCGTGCACGAATGTAATTCGGCATTGCTCAACAAATTTAGATTTTTTGTTTTGTATAATGTTCGACTTTATTAAACCGAGATGAACTGAACTTCGAGATAGGGCAGCATATCCAAACAAAAAATCTATAACATGTAACTCAATTGAAGTTCTAGTTAAACAACAATAACAATTATGTTCCCGTAAACGTTTGGTTAAATTTTAATTGAACATCGATACATTACAATTTGGGCGTCGCTATGAAATACTGGGCGTGGTTTTTAAAATATGGACGTGGTAATTTTTATAATTCGATGTTCGTAACTGCATGTCTGTAACTCGAACAATCCAACATCTCACAAATTTTAATTTGATATAGTATCGCACATTTGTTTACAAATGTCAGGAACAAAATTCCGTTAGATCAAATGAAAATTAAAATAAACAAACAGTCATCAATATCAATATAATGATTGATTATTAGAGTAGACAAGGAAAATTTTACTTTATGAGTACCGGTAATTTATTTGCACATATTTGCACTTCATTTGTCAAACCTTTTGAAAAGTTGAAATATATGTGTACATTGATGCAGATAAGTTTCGTCGTTTTTACTTGTATATATAACAAACAATATATGTAGATTTCAGTTCATGCTATTTGTCCTTGGGACGCTTCTTTTCTTATTACACTTCATTGCATATCAAATTGGCATTATTCCGCCGACTCTATATAAAGTATCTTAAGATGTAAATACTCTCAAATGAACTTGACATTTATATAGATTTGTTCAAGTCTTTCTCAAGGTTGATTATGTCTTCAGAAATAAATACATTTCTTGTAGAATAAACAATGTTGTCTGTTTCATCTCAGACTACTATAGACAGACTAGCAACGCATATTGTTGAAGGTGCGGTTTATTGACACACTATAACCCGAAGATCCCCGAACGCACTCACATTTACCTGCTTCTGTGTTTTCGTAAATTCATTCTAGTATCAAACACACAGGCGCATACTTTTCGATAACACCATGAAATCATTTCGATCATTGTTTTTGTTCAAATCGGCCAATTCTTTGGGCGAGTTACATCATTTTTAATATCTCCTACTTTCGTCCATGATATTTATGAATATATAATGAACAACTTCATGGTAGTATTTCTCATTCTTTAGAATTTCCCAGAATACTAGAGGTCCCGGGGCATGCTCCCCCTTAAACATTTGGAAATCTAGACCCTCTGAAACGCTATTTCCTGCATTTTGAAGACAAACTTTTTATTCAAACGTTGAATTTAGTTATAACTGTACAATGTATATTTAATTTGTTGATGTGTATGTTCTTTTGTAGAGCGGGTAAAGTACTTGCTACGAAGTGGAGCAAAACTAGTTTTGAGTGAACATTACAGACCCACTGAAGCAACGGAAATCCCACGGTACAGCAATACAACAATAATATAGTTAACTTGAGAATGCAAGGCTCAAATGCTTTGTCTATAGACAGCCACTCCGATTCATAGACAACACTCTAACAATGCAGAGGCGAGCTAGATATATAAGTTTTATTACATGAAAAAAATATACAGTACAATGAATATGGTCAAAACAGACACAAATTTTTAAAAAATGTCTGTGGTCCAAATTTTGAATTCAGTAAAAGCAAGTAAAAGCGTCCACCTGGAAAGTTATATGTACATAAAACAACAATCGTTTGGTGTTCTTATTTGTTGTCTGCTAAAATGTCACTTTCACCTGGGTAAAAAGAGCCTGTCCATGCACCCATGTAAATATCATGCCCATAATAGAAAGCAGTTCGAGTTTCAAACTATCAGATGACAAACTCTGTGCTAAGATGCCCGAATTTTCTAAAATAACCTTATCACCAAGCACCTGTTCTTTAAATTTAGCTATGTTTACAAACAAAAAAAGTTCCATTATCCTGACATACCAAGTGCTTTACCACAAAAAGAAACAATCTTGACTTTGGTGTATCGAACTTTTAAAATTTCTTTATCAGAATTCGGACAATACAGCTTCCAATGTAGCGGAGTCCCTCTAGTTCTGTTACATTTGAACAATATAAAAACAAATCTTTTGTAAAAAAACTATGATAACATAATCTTAATGGATGTCTACCAAATTGTGAATGATCTAGCAAAACATCCCTACACGTTACAAGCTTTTTAAAATTATTGTAAAACCTAAGAGTATGCAAGTATGTTCAAGTGTCTTCTCTTTGCCTTTGCTTATCATTCTCTGTTGGCTTGTGAACTCTGGTGAATGAACAACCAGTGATTTAACTTTGTTTTGCAATGGAGAATGTTTTGCAATGGAGAATGTTTTGCAATGGAGAATGTTTTGCAATGTCGAATGTTCGGCGCTAACATCAGTCACAATGCCGTCTGTCAAGTTTGAATTGACAGCAGTTCCTTCCTAGACTGTTGACAGTCCTCGGGCCTAATATGATTGTGTATCCTAGACATTCGGCGTTTGAGGGGAAATGCGAGGTGTTCACCCGGGATAGCTTCCCAGTCATAATCGTCACCGTCCCAAACAACAAATTCATTCAAAAATAAATATTTACCTTGAACTGATGAATCCCGCTCTTCAGACATACTTCCACTTCGTTTACCGCATTTGCTCGGATAAATCACCCCAGGCTAACCTTAGTTCATCGAAACGATCGAGCGACACAGTCAGGAGGCCACGACCACGACAGCGGCATCATTCTCGGAATCTAAAAGCGCGCATTCTAGAAGGAACGCTGCGACATGCTTTAGCTTGCATAGCAGACGACGAAGCCCTCACAAAAGTGTCTGATTTTGATATTGAAATCCGTTGTTATTGGCAATGGTCAATTTTATTTCATATCGATTTTAGTATTAAATACTTATCTACAATTCCACTTCATTTTGAATAGTCTCTTCTTTAATCGTTATCGAATACAAAACAATATTGTATACATATACATGGTACAATGTCTTGATGCTAAACAATGGGATATATAATCGCTATTAATCTTCTGCAATGACGTCATGATTTCATATGAGGATTTCATATGACCACGTACTTTGGACATTTGTAAAATGATTGGATTCATGATAATAATCACCTAAGTTATATTATAAAAATTATAAAATAAATACAAAAGTACAACGATAACAAAGAACGAAAATAGTTTATCACTTGTTATTACGCTGTCCTGACAACCAATTGTAGGATTATAACCTTATGAGAAAAATCTATTTTTATAGAAATATTAAACATCAATGCAATGTTTTTTTTATTATGAATGAGCCTTTTTGTCCCAAACCAAAAAGTCACTTTTTCAAATCCATTTCGTCTTGATCGATAACAAATTTGATGTTATAAAATTTATTGATCACTCTTTAGCTTTGTCTGCTTTCAAAATGAAGTGCATATCTGATTGCATCATATTTCAATCTCAATAAAAACATGCAATGTTTATTTGTTTCC